TATCTAAATAATCAAGTAGAAATAACAGGGAAGATAACACCAAATAGTTACGCAATGATTTATGGGAGGAAGCAGATTAGAAAATACTAGGTTTGGATGATAAAAACAAAACATAAAACAAACCATTTCTGCTTTGTGACTGATGACATGAATTTTAATCCCAAACTAGAATGCAGATGATGGAACCAGTTACAGTGCATTAATGTCATAAGACTTTAATAAAGCACAGAGACTATAAACTGGTGGACTGCTGGCCTTGGATCTTTGCTGTGTAAATATCCCAAGTGCCATGTGGGGAGAAGCATGCACAACCAAGTTATCTCCTGGGGTTAGCCTTCTGTAAGCTTCTCCTCTGTGCTACATTTTACACCTACTTTATTACTTCGCTCCCTAACGCTGCAATCAAGCAAGCAGCTTTCCAGGTTAGAGGCTAAAATTCCTTAACTTGCACAAATTCTTCTTAACCTAGCCTGACTGTGAAAAGTATGGAGGTGCTCAGAAGAATCACATGGGACCAGAAAGATAACAATGTGATATTTTCCAGCCCTACATCAACTGGAATCTGGTTTGTTCAGTGGCATTTACAGGTATAAACATCTTAAAAAGCACACACACTATGCATTACAACTGGTGTAAGTTGTCTATATTTTGATCTGGTGGGATTCATTTTAAATGCGTAGACGTTGGTAATTTTGACACAAAAAAATTGGTCAGTAATGGCATGAATGCAGCCTCATAAATGCAGTTCCCCTGCCCCCGCAGCGATCCAACGTCACTGCCCTTTTGGCAGTGCAACGAGCCCTTTGCAGCCCTGCTACCAAGGGAATGAGTGGGGGGGACATGACTAATGTTCCCTTTAATTTTTCCCATCCATGTGCAGAATAAATTTTGTTATGTGCACCAAGGCATGTGTGGCGGTGCACCATCAGTAGAAACACAGGCTGCCGACCGTGGGCGCCCTGCTAATCATATGGGCAGCATTTGGATCTCTCCTGGGCAGCAGCCCAAGCACTCAGCTTAGAAGGAACACTGGTCACAACAGCTCAGCTGCACAGAGCTTCCTGCCTGGGGACACTGGATCCCTGCAGGAGCAAAGTGTGGGGGAGGCTGGCAGGGCAGCATCGGGGCTGGAAGTAGAGGGCTGCTGCACTGCCTGGCTTGAGGTAGATTCTATTATGCAGTGTGTTTACAGTTCAGTGCCATGGCTCTCAGCACCCCCACTGTACAGTTTGTTCCAACCCTCCTGCAGGGCAGGGCAGAGACTCTCGGCCAGGCCTGTGAGGGATGAACCCCCAGCTGTGGAAGAGGTCACCATACTGCTGAATGACTGCTCAGGGTCAAAGCCCTTCACAGAAGGGTGGCCTCCCTGCTGTCCTGCCCTCCCAAGATCGCAGCCTTCCCCACACCAGGCACATGCAGGGAGAGGGCATCACCCAGCCTGAGAGAAGCCGGAGAGTCCTCTGCAGCTCTGCTGTCATGGCCCCACTCGCTCACCAGCCAGGAGTGCGGGAGCTGTCCCTAGGCCTCCCATGCAGCCAGGAGGGATGGCAAAATCGTGCGCC